CCATAAAAAGATTTATGAAGAACAGAAGTAAATATTTGCACATATTATAGAAGGAAAACACCTATGGCAGAAAGAGTATGAGCAATAACCAATTTCAAATAAAGGTTATTTTTCCTTATGTGAAACTGAACTACATACAGTAGCAACAGCAAACCTATGACCCACAGTCTTTATGCAATATTTGTCTATACCACTGATTGAGACATTCCAATGATCACACTTCCATGGTGAAACCTAACACTCCTCCACTTGCTTTCCTGAAGTGGCCACGGTTTTTCCTATGCATTAGTCTTCCATTGCCCACATGGAAAGAAGGCCAAAGCCAAATGCCTGATGGGTGGGAGCTCACTTTCTCTACTCAGAACCTAGCTCCTAACTGAACCTTATTGTTTACCCAATTTAAAGCCCTTCTAGAATGCTAGGTTCTTTGGGCCTCTGCTTACCTCACAAAAGAACAAATGAAAAATAAATCCAGTCATCACTACTTATACTACCTGAAAGTTGTTGCGAGAGGAAAACCTACTGAAGGGTTTTGGGGACATGGGGCAAAGGTGTATGGAAAGATTGCTCCCCCAAAACAAGAGAAAAAGGGAAGTGGTGGAAGGAAGAAGAGGAGTCTGCTTGTAGGTTGTCTAGAAAACTTTGCTCTACTACTTATTTAAATCTTGTGTTTCACTTTTATGTAGAAAGCGCAAAGACAGTGACCTGGAGAAGGACAACAGGAGACAAATTGCTTGATCATTGTCTTCGGTCCACCCCCTCTGGGGGCACCTGGTGCTGGCCACTGTCAGCAGACAGGCTACTGAGCTAGATGGACCTTTGGTCTGACCCAGTAAACAGCCATTCTTATGTTCTTATGACCTTTCCCTCTCACTTCATGCACATGTAAATCTGTTCCAGGGACATAATTCAGCCTCTGGGTTGCTTGTAAATGAGTGCATCTTGCTAACTGAAGTGTGGCTAGCTACAAACTCACATTGTGATAATTTCTACTGATAAGCTTTTCAACTGGAGAAAAAAGTCTGATTTCAAAATCTGGTCTCAAACACTTCTGGGTTTTTTTAATGGAATTTGGCACTGGGTGTATGTGCACATGAATGGGGTTTTTTGTTTTGCTTTGCACAATATTTGCAGAAAGCAGTCAAATTACAGCTACAGTAAAGCCAAAAATTCATTTGGAACAAATATTTGTTCATGCTTGTTTGTTGTGCAAGTCACCGAGTTCAAATCTTGACCGATACCATTCCTTCCTTAGTGCTTGCACCCTTCAAAATACTTGAAAGCAGTTATCATAGAGTACAGCTATTTGGCTGTACTCTAACTCTGGTTATTTCAATCTCACTCCATAAATTAATCCCTCCGGACTGCATCATTTGTTATTCCAGGAGCTCCCTCCAGAGCTGGGCCTCTTCCCAACACTTACTGTATACTACCAACTAGTAGTGGTGGTAGAAAATTGTTTCACTCCTAAATTATATTTAGCTCATTGGTTATAAAGGGAGTGCCTCTTTTACAATATCACATGCTCTGTTTTGGTGGAATCTGACAAGGTCACAGGTTCACCCTATTTATTCCAGGGGTCTGCCCACAATAACTCAAGCTCAAACTCCTTTGGTCAGTTAGTCTAGCAAAAGAAAACAATACAACTCCTTTGTCTAAACTTTTTAGGTTGTCTCCCTACATTAACAGCATGGTGTTGAAAAGAAAGGCTCCATTTACTATGCTGCCCATCCAAGCAACAGCTGCAGGGAGACCCAAATGGAAATTTATTTCAAGATATACATAAAAAGGGTTGTGGGCAGTCTGCCATCACTTTAAATTAAAAACCAGTCCCATCCATTGCCCAACCACCTTCAAATTCCACCCCCTTACAATATACCCATTGCCAAATAAATCCCAGTGCACTACCTTGCTGCAAGCCATATTCCTAATCTGAACTTTACCTACGAATGCAGCCAAATTCAGGCTACTGCAGACCAAGCAGGGAGGGAATGAGATCCAAGGTCAAGCATCACACTGAGGCTACATCTACACTGCACCTCTCTTGCGCAAAAGCCTATGCAAATGAAGTGCAGATTAGCATATTGCCATGCTTCATTTACATAATTAGGAACCATTTTTGCGCATGAGGCTTTTGCACAAAAAGAGTCATCTACACAGCTTCATTTTGCACAAAAGCCTCTTGCGCAAAAATGGGCCCTAATTATGTAAATGAAGCATGGCAATATGCTAATCCACACTGCATTTGCATAGGTTTGTGTGCAAGAGAGGTGCAGTGTAGACATAGCCTTGATAATTTACCACTTCACTGCAATGAACTGCTGGAGTCTAATGCCCCCTCAAAATTAGTACTTCATGGCCACCTACCAGACTGAGGCCATGTCTACACCACAAAATTAAGTTGACCTAATTTATGATACCGTACAGCTGCTGCAGAAATTACAGTGCATGTCTGTGTCTGCACTTTGATCCATGTATTGGCAGCACGCAGCCTCATCAGAAGCACTTGTAGTGATTGCACTGCCACCGAAAGCTACTCATGGTCAACTTTGATGGTTTTCCACTTGTAGACATGGAGTTAAGTTGGCATAGCAAGGCAGTTACATCAGTAGAAGCAACATTTAAGTGTGGACACTCAGTTAAACCAACAAGCTGCTCTCCATGCAGAAAAGTGTCTCCTGCTCATATCTTGTGAAGTTATATATTGATGCTACCAGTAGTTTGGGTGATATTAACACCCCACCCTCCTGGACAGAATTAGTATTAGGACCCTATGCTTCCCCACACCCTGTTTCAGTTACGTAATCACCCTTAAGCCCCATCTTCTTTGCACAATCATACCAAGAAACTATTTCCTAGTATTCGTGTCTGTTAGATATTTTTAGCTGAAATTAACACACATAGCTTGGGTAGGTGAGGCAGAGGTAGGAATGTGGGTGGGGAAAGCACTTTGGTTTTCTAGTGCTAGGATTTTTATAGCTCTTGTCATGCCGTCAATACCTGTGGACCACTCCTCTCTCCTGAGAAACGCCCTGTATTCCTTCACAAAGAGTGGTTTTGCTTCCTTTGAAATTTAAGCACCCTGTTGCTCATATTTTCCTTCAAATTATTAAGTTTCTAGGAAACAGAACATCTTGGATCCTTAGATCACATGTAAGACAGAATCTGAGATCTACTATCCTCTATTTTGGATCTTCGGGAAGAGGCCTGTATTCTGGTTCTCCTTTTATCCCCCTCTGCTTCTTGAGTTGTGGTTTAAGTTTCATCAAAAGGCACCCCCCCACTCCAGTTTAATCCATACTGCAACTTGTTCAGTACTGACTCAGAGAGAAGCTGGCCATGCACTGAGTCACCATCACTCATCTATACAAGTGTTTGCCTCTACACAGCACTTAAACACTCATGGCTTGCTTGTGATAGCTGACGCAGGCCTGCAGGGATGAGGCTATAAAATTGTAGCGTAGACATTCCAGTTAGGGTTGAAACCTGGGCTTTGGGACCCCCGAAGGGGAGAGCATCCCACAGCCTGTGTGCCCACTCTCACGCTACCATCTACACTGAAATTTTACAGACCCACCACCCTGACACAACTGATATGCGCGTATGGTGTGCATTTAATTGTGTAGACATACTGTCAGTCAAAGACTGACCAGCAGGGCCAATCCTGCTTAGCTTGTGAGATCATAAGCCAAGATAGAGCTCACTTCTATCAATGTGGAATATCTTAGGAAAGCAATTCCAGTCTTTTTAAGAACCCCCTTATTCACTAGTTGGTAAACACACACATACAATCTCCCTCCCTTCCAATCACCCTACCCCAACACAGATGGCAAACTCTTAGTGTTTCTTCTTTTTCATCCCCCTCCTCCCCCCTTTAATCCCATGCATTTATTTTCTGCTTATTCCCCCCCATACTCACTGGAAAGCTAGATGCTGCTAAGGATAGGGGAAAGGGCATCAATTTGTGATGCTCCAGGACTGAGATGCTCTCACAGCATTTGTGCCTCTGAGCTCCTTTCTGATCTTACAGATAGTTGTGTTAAAGATCACTGTAGCTGCAGGGAGAGAATTTGGACTTAAGGTAGGTAAGTAGTGACTCCAATCATATAGCTCTTGCCCATCACCACTACTCTTTTTTTGCCCCATTCCCAAGGACCAGTCTGAAATTGTCTAAGTTGGGAAGCGGGGTTTTAAACACTGGCTCTATAAGAAAGTGGCAGCAGTAGGAATGGAGCACTGGGAATGGAACGACTCAAGCAAAATGCCTCAGACCTTGTGGGAATACTCAACCATGAACACAACATTTTTATAAGGGCAGTAATGTTATTAAGGACCAACAAGCCCAAAAAACCACTTTACATACCAGCTATACTGTAGCTTTTAAGACTTTTTAAAAATCTATCCCTATAGCTATAATGCCAGGGTTAATTACCATTAGACCAACTGAGTAGGACTTATGGAGAAACAGCTTAAGCCGTTAAAGGAGAAGGATCATATTTCAGTGCGCTAGCATGGGTTCAGTTCCCTGTTCACCATCCAATTCCTATGCAACATGGGTCAACCACCACTTACGTAGCAATCTAGCTGACTGTTCTTTTGTACTCTGCAGATACTTGTTAATGTGCTTCCTCAAAAAGCTACTACTAGATCCAAGTGTTTTTTTTCCTTTCTAACCAGAACCCCTCCCTCCAAATATCTACATTTCAAGTGGAAGGGGAATTCTTGTTTCTAATCAGCAGGGCTCAACAAACCGGTTTCTACTCGTCTGTGGCAAGTAGATTTCAGCTGGTCGCTCCGTGCACCCTATTCACCAGTGCTGTCTCCTCCAGCACAAGTAGACCGTATGAACTCAGCTGCCACTGAAAGCATGTGATAGCATATACTGAATATTATGACTGACCTCACAGTAAAGGAGGAAGTGGATAAGATGCTGACCTACAAGTGAGGGAAACCACTGAAAAATACCTGACCCTAAGTTACAAATATATGGGAAGGCAAACTGATTTGTGGTTAAACAAAATATATTTGGAGTTTTTGATCCCCATCCTGGAGCATCATATACATAAGCTGGAAAATATAAGAAGGTGCTTCTCAGTTTTCTTCTTCCTTCCAATTGTCTTATAAAGAGGCACCCACTGAGGTTTGGACGGTGAGTTACAATAGGCTGCAGTATGACTGGGAAAAAGAAAGCGTCCACAGACCAATATTTTCCATTTAACCCCCACAAAAACGGGGTTTGCCAGGAGACTGCTGCTTCCAAGTCTAGGGGAGAGTCCAACTGCAGGAGACGACTCCTTTTACAGTCCAGAAATAGTACAGGTACCAACCCTTCATAGGATGACCGTTTCAGCATAGCAACAGGGTGCAGATTCAATCTATCACTGAAGACAGTGCTGGAGATGCAGAGACGGTGGCCTGCCATTCACAAGTGTACCTCTGGAGGCTTGCGGTTTGATGGAGATACAGTGTGGTAGGTATCTCAAAGGGGACAGAACTTTTAAGTATCTGGCTAACGGGCTTTCCTTCTTTTCATTTTCCCACCAGCCACTTTGTTCCTGACCCCTGTCGCTCCCTCTGTGTCATCATCATCATTAGCCTCATCTCGGGATCGCTTCTTTTTCTCTCCCTGCTCTCGCAACTCCTGTAAAGAGCAAAAAAAACCAACCAACCCCAAAGGTGAGCAATTGTGAGAACTCTCTATAGGCAAAGAGAATGTCATAGCACTGGAGAGGCGCAAGAAACAAGATGATACATACCATACGAGCAAATCTCTGGGCTTCTGCCACACGCTCTGTTAGCATCATAACCTCCTCCTCCTGTGTGGGGAATACAGGCAGCTTCTTGCCAATGAGATGTTCAATGCGCTGGAACAGTTCCACATCATACCTGATAAAATGAAAGATGGTACAGATCAGTCTTCCTGAAAATATTTTGGTTCTCGTTAGCCACAGCCCTGCAGCCCCTCCTCTCCCTGCCTCCCTCCCTCCACGACCCAAATCAGTCAGTCATGCAGGATTCCTATCAGAGCTACCTACGTTAGCTCCTTGGTGCTCCTTGCTCATGAAGCAGGAGGATAGGCGTGTCCTGCTCTGAAGCAGGACAAAAGAGGCAAGCGCACCCTGATGTTACTTACTGAGTGACAAAGGTGATGGATTTGCCAGACCGCCCAGCTCGAGCTGTCCTTCCCACACGGTGAATGTAATCCTGAAAGCAAATCTCAGTTAGCAACAGGATGTGCTCTGCCAAACACTAAACTGAACACGGTCCCTGGAAGTGCACTCTGTAACCAACTCTACAGAAATTCCATAAGCAGCAGCTAAATGGTTATTGCAGGGAGGACTATGCATTTCTCTAGGATGAAAATGAAGCCATGAGGGAGGAAACAATGGTCAGGATTTAGTCTCAAAACAGTATTAATATGTAGCATCCTGAGAATTGAGGGGGATGGTGAAAGCAGCTCTAGAGTTTGTTCTTTGGCATTAATCCAGTAAACTTTCTCATTTTTTCTTTTTCTGATAGTCAACTGCACTGCTCAAGCTGCAGGATTAAAATTAAACCATGGTGTAAATAAGGTGAATGATCAAGACATTTCTGAGTGAAGTTTGTTGGACTGTGGACTGATCTATTGCAGAGGTGGGAAATATTTTTGGGTGGGGGTGGGGGCCTCTCACCCACAGAAAAAAAAAAATCAGTCGGGGCCATACACACTCACTGATGTGGACCCTGACAGAGGAAAAAGACACTCCCCAATTTCCTTTCACACAAGAGAGCTTAGGAGAGGCCCCGGCTAGTAGATTTTGTGTGCTCCAGTCCCATGGTGGGACAGCGGAGGGGCTGGAACACCAGCACGTGCTCCTCAATGCTGGGGGGAGAGCCCTGAGTCTCAAGGACTAGATCCAAGCAAGCTAGGGGCTGCATGTGGCCCCAGGGCCATAAGTTCCTTACCTCTGGTCTATGGGAAGTGAAAGTTTCACTGCTAATCATTTATTACTAGACAAAGCTCTGGAGAACACACAAAAGGAAACAACCTTGAATGGGCAACACAAAAGATATGAGGAAAAACTAGTTCTGAAATCTCAAAACTGGTCAGAGGACCACTTGCTGGTTTTATGGTACTAATAGGGATGTAAGCGAGTAGTTGACTACCCGAATAGCTTAAGCTTATCATGTAGTCGAGTCAACTACTCGCATTCGCACACACACCCCTTGCTGCCTAAGATAAGAATCAGAAAGGGGGAGAGGAAGGGAAGCAGGAGCTGGTTCCCCCCAGCACTGTCTCTGCAGTGCCACCTGCCCCCCACTCGCTGCTGCAGAGGTAACACGGGCTGCTGCAGGCTTGGCAGATAGCTCACGCTGGAACCAAACCCCGCTGCAGCTTTGCATTTAAAATGTAGTAGGAGCTGGGTGGGCAGGCAGCCTGGCTCAATCCCTGCTCATGCAAGGTATGGGACCAAAACCTGCTGCGGCTCTGAAATTTAAAATGCAGTAGGAGCCAGGGAAGGGGAAGTGGCTGCCTGGATTCTACTGCATTTTAAATTGCAAAGCTGCAGTGGGGTTTGGTCTTGGTGTGAGCTGGAACTGAGACAGCTGCTTTCCCCTACAGACTAATCGAGTAGTTGATAAAAATTCTATCAACTACTCAATTAGTAAAATAACCACATTTTAACATTGCTAGGTATGAACTCATTTCCTGAACTGCAGTAAGGCTGATGATAGCCACTTTTCTATACCTGCCATTGGCATGTTATATGATTGAAAGAAATAAGAGGGTCGGAGAGAGTGAATTGCAAGCTGAGGTGTCCACAACAAACTATTAAGGTGTGGTCCACTTCTGAAAAATCCTGGACTAGATAATCTAGTATGTCTATTACGTTTTTTCATAATGTAAGGACAGATTGGGGTAAAATCTTCAAGAACAGCGACTATATCCCTCTTATTTGTCTGCAGTGTCTAGTACATCATAAGCAGGACTTGACAAATCATTGAATCTACTCGCCCGTGGTTTAAGATTTTAGCAACTCTTCAGATTTAGAAAAGTCTCTAATTCAGTTTGATAAATGTGTACATTTTCATAGCATTCTAGACGTCTTGATTTCTCCCTTGCAGAGATAACTGGTAGGAACACAGAACAAAACTCCCCTATGTTAACTTTTTTCTTTTAAGAAACTGTCTCATTTAAAATTAATACAATTTCCCAAGATTAGAGTTGATATTTTCCCTTTATCATGATGCAACAAACTGGAATGTATCCCCCTGGCCCTCCCTCCATGCACAAACAGAAAAGGCATCATTATTTATCATGCTCCTCATCTACAGTACACAAAGTACCCAAAAAGCAAGACCAAGTAAAAATGTCAGGTGGCCATTACTGTCACTGCAGAAAAGAAATGCTAGTTTCATTTAGACAAGTGATTCAAGGGCTCCAATTAGCAGAAGAGAAAGAGAGAAAGCCTTCTGCAGTGAGCCACAGTACTCAGTCTTAAGTCTTTGGTGATGGGAACCCTTGCATATCAAGACGAGACTCTCACCTTAGAATGTGTGGGAATGTCAAAATTTATCACCACATCCACATGTGGGATGTCCAGACCTCTGCTTGCAACATCTGTAGCCAGCAGAATGGAACGGGCCTTTGCTTTGAACTTATTCAAGGACCCCAGTCGCTTATTCTGTGAGAATAGAAATAAAAACGAAACAAGTTTATCATTTGAAAGTCAAAATATCAAAGGAGGGATTGAACCTATTTTTGTTAAACTATTATTATCCTTCTGTACACTGAAGGATTTGGAGATTAAGCTGTCACCTGGAACAACTGGTACACTGGAATTTGGTGGCTGCATTAAGCTCTAGGGAGCCAGCCCAACACACATTATGGTCATTTTCCTCTTGGAGCTGATCATGATGCAGTGGCACAATCTCATCGCATGTACACTGTCGTCATCATGAGGGATGGCCAGCAACCTGGGGACTAGGGGGTTAACTATACCCAAGCCAGGGAGCAGTCTGCCAATAAAAATGCAGATAGGGATTTCAAACTGGGACAAAGGAATTTTTGTTTTTTCCCCTCCTTTGTCTGAGCAGTTCTCTCCAGATACCGAGGGAGACAGACATGTCTCTCTCTCTCCCCAAGAGGAGACTCTTCACTATCTGTAAGTAGGGTAAAGTTTAGATAAATCCGTTAGTTTTTATTGTTTTATGGTTTGGGAATGGGAATCTGATGTCTGTGCATTTAAAAATGGGATTTCCTCTCCTTTGTAACTAAGGTCTAGGTCCATGGTGGGTCCCCCCAGGAGTACATTAATTGATAACTTTTCCATCTAGTCATTATGCTTGTAACAGGAGTATTGTGGTGATAATAAAGGTTCTTTTCTTTTTCTTTTAATTAACCTGGTATTGGTTTTTTTTTGTCCTGTTTTTACTTTAGGGCTGAGATTTCCCAAGTGATCTCTTCCTTGGGTTTCTTATCATTACTTAGGTGCTTGCAGCAGATTTTTATCTCCAAAATCTAGGTTAAGATTTTGGGGGGAAGCTTTATACCAAAGCCTGGAAAGATAAGGTTTTGGGGTACTTTTGCAGGCCCCCACTTCTGCATTCACCGTGCCAGAGTGGAGATTTGGCCTTGATATACACCAACACAGCAAGGAGCGGACAGGCTGTTACCTGACTCATCTGTCCATGGAGGGGGATGGCAGTGAAACCTAAGTTGCGAAGCAGGAGAGCGGTCCTTTGAGTGTTGTTACAGGTACTGCAAAATATCATGAAGGAGTTCCCAGCTAGTTCGTTCAGGATATAAACCAGGTAACTGTCCTGTAAAGAAACAAACAGGACACTAGTACAGATTACAAGAGAGCAAACTTCAACCACAAGCCAGAGAAATGGGAGAATAGGACTGTAAATATTAAGAAGCAAGAATGGCTCTGAGGATGGGGAGAAAAGAGGCATATTACCTTGAATTTGGAGGGGATGAAAATATAATGCTGCTGCAATTTTTCAACTGTCTGATACTTGGAGGATACAGCACATTTAACAGGATCCTTCAGTGCAGCACGCTGGAGCTTTTGCACCTGATGAAGAAGTTCAATATAAATCAATATTAGCAAAACACGAATCCTCCAGCAACAGTGCTCTAAAGGTATGTCTACTCTATGAGCACGATTGCTCTACTTGTGCGTGCATGCTTATGCTAACTCTCAGTGTAGACATGGTAGAACTGACAGTGGAGAAATGGTCGAGACATTCTGAGTGTATACCTATCATTTTCAGGCAGATTTGTACTCGCATAGCTTTTGCTGCCCGACACCACAGCTATGCTATGGTTTATACTAGTGTTAGTTCAATGAGAACTAGCCATGAGTATACATACACAAGCAAGGGAATCACACCCCTAACTTATAGTGTAGATGTAGCTTTAGGGAGGAGGAAAGGGGTGTAGAAACATTTATCCTATAACCCATAATGCCTTCTCCCACTTTCAATACACAAGCTGATCTGAGAAAAATTATGTTTTCACCTTCTTCGTCATGGTGGCAGAAAAGAGGAATGTCTTCCTGTCTCGTGGAATCACTTTCAGGATCTTGTCCACCTATAAAAGAAAGAGAAGGAGAAAAACCTGCTATTAAGACACAGGAGAAGTCAAGACATGCACCCTTTCAAGTAAATGTTCCAAGCAGAGAACATCTGAATACTGGGCCATATGCTAATCTGTCTGATGTGAAAGGAGTGGACATCTTCTTTTAAAAGAGCCATATAAAATGAAGCTGTATTGTGGACTGCAGCACTTAGACATGTAATGAGGGATACAAAGAACAGGCACCGTGGACTCCAGAAGTCAACGGGTACTGTCAGCAACAGGCAATATATCTGTAGGAATGAAAACAATAGCATTGCACCTAAAAGGAAACACCACATACAGGGAAGAATCCAACAGAATTTAAAAGAGATGAGATCTATTCTAATGTGTTTAAACCATTGTGTAGAATTTAACAGAATGCTGTGGGAGGTTAAAAGATATAATTTACTATTAAGTTCTGTGGGACAGTTTAATAAAGCTACAGCAAGACCTCATTTTCTACTACATCTTCTAGATATTTAGAACAGTTTCCTTAAGACTGCATTAATTTCATCTATTAAATTCTATAGGACTTCTCCTTCAGAGTGGGTTATTGAAGGTGTTACCTCGGTCTCAAAATCCATGTTGAGGATCCGGTCAGCTTCATCCATAACCAGGTACTTAAGAGCTCTCAAGTTGAAACCTTTCGTGTTCTCCAGATGGTCAATCAGACGGCCAGGTGTTGCTACCAACAGACAAAAAGAAAAGTAAAGATGACAGCAATGGGAAAAAAGTCCCAGAATGCAATCCATATAAAGAAAGGAAAAGGCACTCCAAGTGAGGAGGGAGGTACTCTGCTAGAGAGTTAGCTTCTTTTGCCTAAGATTGTCAAGGCAACCACAGCAGTATGGAGCTTTGTGAGAAGTCAAAAAAGACTGATTTTCCTTGGATGGGCAGACTAGAGCTGTCTTAAAATGAGGACCCACCAGACTAGGGAAAAAGTGGGCCAGATCAGTGGCATCTTAGAAGAGCTCTAGATCACAGTGCTTGTATCCCTAGGGGAGAATGGGAGACCATTCCCCAGGCAAATTGGCTGCACAATTTTGAGATGAGCCATGGGGCTGTTGCTACACTTCAAAGGCAGAGGTGCCCTTATTGACTAGTCGATGCAAATTCCACTGATTATTTGGTTAGCCAATTAATCGAAATTTTACATGCCTACTGACAACCAATACCCCCATTCCTCAGGGTGCCTTGTGATCTTATTACAAGCATCACACATACTGATTTCTTACCAATTACAACATGTGGCTTCTTGGCTAAGGTTAGAGCCTGTGACATCATGTCAATTCCACCCACAATAACAGCTGTAGGAAAAAGGCAGAGTGAGTCTCCCCCAGAGATAAGCCAATACAAGCCATCACTATAATCAAAATTTACCTATTCCTGTCCTCCCTCAAATCCACCCACAATTTCTGTATAGGAATTACAAACCACTTATTTCATTTTGGTGTTTTTCATTTTGTCATGTCTTTCTGCAGACATCAAGTCCCCAGCTTGCTCACTACCATGCCCTAATATTTCCCACAGTCACAAAACTTTTTTTCACATTGAAATGATGTACCACCCACCACAAATACCACCCCCTCACCAATATTCCTTTCCCAACCCCACTACCACCATTCCCTTACAGCTTAACAACTTCCTCCCACTCTCTCAAATTTTCATAAACCACGAGGCCCATTAAAAGGCCACTTACCACTCTGGACACCAATGGAGGATCCAAGAGCTTCAAATTGCTCGGAGATCTGAAAGGCGAGTTCCCGGGTTGGTGTGAGGACAAGAACAAATAAACGCTGAGGTGTTTCCAGCAGAGCCTGCAGGATGGGCAAAGCAAAAGCTCCTGTTTTTCCAGAGCCTGTCTCTGCCAGCCCAATGATATCCCGGCCTAAAATGGGAGGCAAGAGCCTGTTACTAGAGCCTGGAGAAGGATTCCTTCCCAACAGTAGGCAATAAGGCACATAAGGAAAAAAAGAGAGCCCCACATTAAGATTTAAGTGACCAGTACCAGCTAGTACCCACAGGAGTGAAAAAACAAGGAGTAAAAGGAACAAAGTACAGGAACAGGGAGCATCCACAGGTCTTGAAGCATTTAAACATTGTTTTATTTCTAAGTAACTGTTAACTTGAATTCCACAGTACCTTTCATTTTTCTACTAGGTTTTATGCAGCATATCATTTTTCTTATGAACTTTAGGTTTCAAAACCTCACTTTACACCTCACTAAATCCAGCCATTTTATATGCTATTTCTCGCGTGTTTAAATATCACGTGTGTAAAAGTTATCATTGTGACTTCATGATTGATAAGGACATTTTGTCCAGTTTTAAACCTTGTTGTAGACCCCACTGGCAATACCAACCTTGCTTTTCCCACTTACATTTCTAAACACGTTATTGTCTCCATATCTTAATAGTGTTCATTTTGTGAATATGCTAGTGAAGGAGTATAACTTCAATCATGTTTTCACTAACATTCTGTATTCAACAATCACAGAATGTTCACAGAAAGCCTTTTTTCATTCATAATTATTCACTCTGGAAACCTAATTCAGAGATATACCTTCCTTCAAGCAGAAATGTACCATACATCTGTGTGACTATCAAGATGACTGAAATATAAAATATTCATTACAAACTGTTACGAAGTTATGTCAGAGAAAGATTTATTTACAGATATTAACTGGCAAATAATTTTGGAAAAAAAATCATGATATGTAGAGGTTGAACCTCCAGAATCTGGGACTCTCCTGTCCAGCATGGTCCAGTAGAACCACAGATGTTGCTAGACCAGGGAGTCCTGGCTGGGAGCCTCAGTGTCAATGCTGCTGGTAGCTTGGAGCTTGATGGGGTTGCAGCACATGGCGGTGATGGCTACGACTGGCAGCAGGAAGGAGAGGTGGGCTGAGAGGATCTCCCTGGTCTGTTAAGTTCCCTCGCTTGGGACTGGTCAGGTCCCAAGGATACTGGGCCAGAGATGTCCAACCAGTACTAATATTTTGCAAAGAACAAAGCTTGTTAAATTATGCACTAAGAATTTTTCCATTCACATCCATGTAGCATATTTATCCAAATAGTGCACATCAAACTAAACAGAAATACAGGCAGTGAAGAATACTGTATCCATCTAAAATTCCAGGGGAAGTTTAGGAAGATTAAATTCTAGATAGGATCTATCAATCTGACAAAATACTAGAGTTAAATTTCATGTTCTTGTGGAGAACGAAACAGATCTTTAGTTATCTCCAGAGTTAGAGACCCCTACAAGATTCACGGATTTGAAGTCTCCTGTACGTCCTTTTCACACTTGTTCTCAGAAACAGACAAGCAAAGTCTGCTCACCTTGGAGAGCCACAGGAATAGCCTCAACCTGAATTTTAGTTGGTGTCTTCCATCCTAACTGGTCACAGGCTTCACAGAGCACATCTGTTACTCCCTGAGAGTGGTAGGAAAAAAAAGGGGACAAACATCAACAAGTGGCCAAAAACTTCTAAGCCAGCAAATCAAATGCAGCTAATCATAAAGCTAAATCCCTCCCAGCCAGACTCCAACTCATGGACACTCAGTACAACAGAGATAAAAGTGATTCCCAATCTTGTTTAAAGGATTTCCTTAACTTCTCCCTACAATCAACTGCTAATATCACTATAGGTAAGATCATAGGGGGGGGGAAAAAAAAAAAAAAGAACTCCTGTCCCCAGTTCATGTATTCTACAACACTTCATATGCAACTAGATGCATTTTCCCATGCAGTTATCCTCCCTGTTACTTAAGTGGCTCTTTCATGGAGAAACAGGAAAAAGAAAAGCATTTGAGAACAGAACATGATTTTTAAACTACAAAAGTTAAAAGGGGAGGGGAATGGAAGAGGAAGAGGTAGTTTTAGCATTTCATCTACTTTTATCTCTATATATTAAAAAAAAATGTTCCTGCAGGACGAGAGTGACATCATCAAGTCACTCTGAATTCCGCCTGCCTCCCCCTTCCCTCCTCTCCCAGCTCAAGCCCGACCTCGTTGCTTCCCCTCGTCACTTAAAATTGCTATTTTAAACCAAGCCCCTACTCCTCTTCCTCAACTCCCACCTCACAGGGGTTTCAACAATAAGAAACATGTCACAGTAGCCAGCATACCCCACACTGCAGCCATAAAAGTTTGGGGTAGGGGAGGGAAGGTACGGTACAGTGCTCAGGGCAGCAGCCCAGGAACAGGAGCTAGGAATGGGGCTCCCAGCCTGGTTTTTGTGCCAGCAGCAGGCTCTTGGGGAGCCGGAGCACAGTGCCAAACTGTTAGGAGTCTGGTTACCCCCACAGACACTCACCCCCTTCCCAGTGGCGCACTTACCGGGGCTGACAGAGCACCCCTGAGCTGCCAAGGGGAGCCACTGCACTGACCTGTTTGCTCCTTTCCTTCTGCTCCCAGCAGATGGACGGACAGCTCTGGGCAGGACTGGGGTGGTGAGCGGCACAGGTGCGACTGCTCGGTGGAGAGGCTGGGACAGCAGCTCACCAGAGGTGCTATTTCCTCACCTCAGCAGGCTGCTGTGCCCTGCAGTGCTGTGTGCATACAGCACTACCTGTGCCTCACTGTGCCCTATGGAAGGTGGGCAGACATCCCTGTGCCTCCCGGGCCAGGGTTAGAGCTCAGCCTGGCACATGCCACCGCTGGGAGGAGGAAGTGTTAGAGTTGGGGAGTGAAAGGGTCTGGAATGGCAGGATAGGGATGAGGGAGAAGAGACACTGACTTGCAGGATAGGGGGAGAGAGACGGGACCTGGGCGGGGGAGGGGGAAGGGACCTGGAGTGGTGGGATAAATGGGGGCGGGGGGCAGGAGGAGAGGCAAGGAAGCCTGGGTTAGCATGGCAGAGGGGAAGATGGTGGCCAGGCTGA